TCGTGTAATGATTTTTTTAATTTAAAATAATACTAAAACACTTTTAAGTACTATTTGCTTGTGAAGTGGTACCTCTGAGTGTTGATTATATAACTTCTGCCCAGATTGGGAGGGGGTGTGAGAGGATGGTATTTCTTACCTGTGAGTGCATAACTCGCTGTGACTTCTCCCAGTCAGGGACCGAAGTAGGCTAATGGCCTGATTAAAGCTGACCGACAATGTCAACCATGCCACTCTCTATGAAGAATTTTACTCTTATGGTATAGTGGTCAGATTTAATTCTGCCTACTTAACAGACTGTTCTTCTGTATTTTATTTGCATGCAATGTTAGAATATTTCTAGCATTAGATAATAATACTTTTTCTTTTTTTCCCCCGTGTAGCATTATTGCTGAGACATCCACTGGCTGTTTGTTTGCTGGATCATCGCTTGGTAAACGAGGTACAGATAAATGAAGGGGGACCGTAGTTCCTAATGCTACTGTAAAATTCTTTTGTTTTCTGTCAGGATTAGAATTTATGAAATGATGGGTGACAAGTTCAAAACGATATAGTTAACTCTTTTGAAGTAAAACTTTTGGTCTTTCTCCCAATTTTGTATTTATACTTTTTTTTTTTTGAGAGGTTTTTTCACTATAGGGCGCGTGCGCTCGCCAGACAGACAGAGAGAGACATAGAGACAGAAAGCGAGAAATCACCCCCCAGATGGGATGGTCACGCCGCAATCCCTTCTCCTCCATTCTCCTCCTGGTATCTTGGGCACGCACGCACACGCGCCCAGCGTGAGTTTTAAGCCACTGGGTCCGGGACACAAACCACGGTCGACTACGTGGGAGTCCAGCGACATAGCCATTACGCTAACTGCTGGTTCCCTGTATTTATACTTTGAAAAATGTTATACTTTGACAAATTTCAGACCTCTAGAAAAGTCGAATGACTAGTTCAAATGGTCATCCATTCACTCTTGTATATTCAGCAGTTGTGGCATTTTTGCTTAAATTTAAATTTAAGCAAAAGTATATGTTTCTGAATTCTTTCAATATAAGTTATAGGTACCATTTCTCACCCCTGAATGCTATAGCATGTAAGTCTAAAGAAGGATAATTTCATAATCACACTACTGTTTTCTGTTTGTTTTTTGTTTTTTTTTTAAGAATTATTTTGGGGTCAGCAGTTGGCATAATGGCTATGTCGCTGCACTCCCATGTAGTCAACCATGGTTCAAGTTCTAGACCTGGTGGCTTAAACTCACACCGTGTGCGTGTGTGCTCAAGATCCTGAGAGGAGAATGGAGGAGAAGGGACTACACGTGACCATCCCCCCGGGGGGGGTGATTTCTCACTTTCTGTCTCTCTCTGTCTTTCTGGCAAGCGCACACACCCTATAGCAAAAACCTCTCCCACCACAAAAAAAGAATTATTTCACTTAACTTTATTTCTTTTATTTGTTTTAATTTGACTAGAGAGGGACAGAGTGAGAAAGAAAGAGATAGAGGGGGAAAGTGAGAAAGCAAGCTGCGAGGTCAGGTACTCAAACTGTGGCTGGCCATGTGGGAGTCCAGCACGCTTAACCACCATGCCACTTGCTGGTCCCCCATAATACTGTTTTTTTTTGTTTTTTTTTGTGTTTTTTTTTGAGAGGTTTTCGCTATAGGGCACGTGTGCTCGCCAGACAGACAGAGACAGAGAGACAGAAAGTGAGAAATCACCCCCCAGGGGGAATGGCCACGCTGCAATCCCTTCTCCTCCATTCTCCTCTTGGGATCTTGGGCACACACGCACACGCGTCCAACATGAGTTTTAAGCCACCAGGTCCGGGTCGCAAATTGCGGTCAACTACATGAGAGTCCAGCGACATAACTATTATGCTAACTGCTGGTTCCCATCCATAATACTGTTTTTATATCTGAAGAATTTGTCTATTATATTGAGGCGCACCGGATATATTCATACATAATGACTTGCCGCAAATATTTTTATAGAGCACTGTGGAAGACTTTCTTGATTCTTAAGTTTGTTTATTTATTTATTCCATGAATGAAAGAGATGGACAGAGAAAGAAAAACAAATACAGAACCCCTTACAAGGTCTTTTATTATTATTTTTTTCTTTATTATAGTGTGTGTACATGCCTATGAGAGTGAGGAAAACAGAGAGAAGTATACTCTACAGTCAGTCTGGCCAAGCTGCCATCTTCCTCTCATGTCCTCCAGCCCATTAGATCATGGACACTTGGGTACATGCCTGGCCTGTTTCAGGCTGACCAGGTCAGAGATTCAAACTGCAGTCACCAAGTGGGATCCGGCTTCTCTTGAGCAGTGTGGTACTTACTGCCTCACAGGGCCAGCTCAGGTCACCATGTTCTATCCCCAGTTTCAACCAGCCCAGGTCATGCGGTATGCAAGGTGTACTCAGATCAGCGAAGTCTCCAGATGTGAGACAGCACCCTTTCCATCTGGGTCTGCCTCACGGAACATCATGTTTTACCTCTGCACCCCTGTCAGGCCCCCTCTATGAACTTTTTGAAGTCGCCCTGTATATATATATATTACTGTTTTCTGTTTGTTTTTTGTTTTTTTTTTAAGAATTATTTTGGGGTCAGCAGTTGGCATAATGGCTATGTCGCTGCACTCCCATGTAGTCAACCATGGTTCAAGTTCTAGACCTGGTGGCTTAAACTCACACCGTGTGCGTGTGTGCTCAAGATCCTGAGAGGAGAATGGAGGAGAAGGGACTACACGTGACCATCCCCCCGGGGGGGGTGATTTCTCACTTTCTGTCTCTCTCTGTCTTTCTGGCAAGCGCACACACCCTATAGCAAAAACCTCTCCCACCACAAAAAAAGAATTATTTCACTTAACTTTATTTCTTTTATTTGTTTTAATTTGACTAGAGAGGGACAGAGTGAGAAAGAAAGAGATAGAGGGGGAAAGTGAGAAAGCAAGCTGCGAGGTCAGGTACTCAAACTGTGGCTGGCCATGTGGGAGTCCAGCACGCTTAACCACCATGCCACTTGCTGGTCCCCCATAATACTGTTTTTTTTTGTTTTTTTTTGTGTTTTTTTTTGAGAGGTTTTCGCTATAGGGCACGTGTGCTCGCCAGACAGACAGAGACAGAGAGACAGAAAGTGAGAAATCACCCCCCAGGGGGAATGGCCACGCTGCAATCCCTTCTCCTCCATTCTCCTCTTGGGATCTTGGGCACACACGCACACGCGTCCAACATGAGTTTTAAGCCACCAGGTCCGGGTCGCAAATTGCGGTCAACTACATGAGAGTCCAGCGACATAACTATTATGCTAACTGCTGGTTCCCATCCATAATACTGTTTTTATATCTGAAGAATTTGTCTATTATATTGAGGCGCACCGGATATATTCATACATAATGACTTGCCGCAAATATTTTTATAGAGCACTGTGGAAGACTTTCTTGATTCTTAAGTTTGTTTATTTATTTATTCCATGAATGAAAGAGATGGACAGAGAAAGAAAAACAAATACAGAACCCCTTACAAGGTCTTTTATTATTATTTTTTTCTTTATTATAGTGTGTGTACATGCCTATGAGAGTGAGGAAAACAGAGAGAAGTATACTCTACAGTCAGTCTGGCCAAGCTGCCATCTTCCTCTCATGTCCTCCAGCCCATTAGATCATGGACACTTGGGTACATGCCTGGCCTGTTTCAGGCTGACCAGGTCAGAGATTCAAACTGCAGTCACCAAGTGGGATCCGGCTTCTCTTGAGCAGTGTGGTACTTACTGCCTCACAGGGCCAGCTCAGGTCACCATGTTCTATCCCCAGTTTCAACCAGCCCAGGTCATGCGGTATGCAAGGTGTACTCAGATCAGCGAAGTCTCCAGATGTGAGACAGCACCCTTTCCATCTGGGTCTGCCTCACGGAACATCATGTTTTACCTCTGCACCCCTGTCAGGCCCCCTCTATGAACTTTTTGAAGTCGCCCTGTATATATATATATTTTTTTTTAATTTTCTACATTAATTCACCATACACCATCACAACACACCAATGAATTTTCCATCCAAAATACACTGTGCATTGGTTCCAGTCGCCCTGTATATTAAAAATGAAGTAATACATAGTTAAACCTTAAAGGGCATAAAACTTTAAAATATGAGATCTAAAAATGTTACTGCCCTTCTTAGGTGAAACTTAATTCTCTTGCTTTGAAAAAAATCCTTTGATTCTGTTGGAATTGCCTACAGATTGATTGTAACATGTATAAATTATGAATTTAAAATTTTTAAATGGAATCAAAGCATTGTAGGGTCATAACTTGTATACATTGTATATAGTTTTTAAAAATAATTATTTAATTACATTTTATTTATTACTATTATTTCTTAATTTGACCAGAGAGAGAGGAAGAGAGAGAGGGAAAGGGAGAAAGCAAGCCATCAGCGCCTGAACTTAAACTGTGATCGACCATGTGGGAGTCCAGCATCTTAGCTACCATGCCATCTGCCAGCCTCACTACATACATTTTAAACAAGGCCAAAGCAACCTATTTTTTAATCCACCAGTGCATTTAAAGATATAATGTATTTACATATGCTGGATCAGCCCATGGCCTGATGGTTAAGGAAGCCAGATTTCACATGACTGACTGTTCAAATCCTTGACCTGGTGTCTTAAGAAACACATTAGGCGTGTGTGTGTGTACATAAAGTTTTGCCAGAATGGAGAAATGGAGGAGCAGGGATTGTGGTATGACCACACCTCATTGAAGGGTGTTTTCTTCTTCCTGTCTGTCTGGCAAGCACAGTGTACCCTCTGGCAAATTTTAAAAAGTAAATAGATAAAACATTTGCCAGGCTCTCGAAAGAGTAAATTGGTAAAGAGCTTATCCTTAAAAGGGGCACTGGGTGAGTTTAGAGGCCTAAGAAATGTCATACTAGTGCTAACTAACATGAGTCAGTTACACGTTTTGCCTATTAATGATCAATTTGGTTTCTTTGTTTTGCATCGTACTTGTCTTAGGTGTAAGTGCTGACAAGGTTGGAATTGAAGCTGCTGAAATGCTATTAGCAAATCTTAGACATGGTGGTACTGTGGATGAGTATCTACAAGACCAGGTAATGACACTTTCAGGATAAAAACTTTCTAGCTTTTTTTTGTTAGACTTGAATATTTGATAGTTAAACTTAATATAAACTTTAATCATTGACTTTCAGAAAATGATTAGGAAGTCCTTCCTCAATTATTTTTTTAAAGTATTCCTACAGTTCCAACTGTAAGAGAGTGTGCTGGTTGATGGTACTATTCAGTAAGTTGAGGCCACATGGGAGTCTGAGATTTAATTTCCCAGCCCCCTGTAAAAAGTCAGGTGTGGGGATGCATGCCTCCTAGCTACTTTGGAGGTTGAGGCAGGACAATTGCAGCAAGATTCTATCTAAAAAAAGAAGCAGCAGCATTCTTCTGGAATTTATGTTCCTCAGATTTTAGTCTTCATTGTACTTGATTTGTTTACAGCATTTAGCACAACTAATCACTCCTTCCTTTTTGAAATACTATCTTCTCTTGGTTTCTGAAATACAGTTATTTTCCCAGCTCACTGGCCATATATTCCTATGCTAGTTTGTCGTCTTCATCTCCTCAACTTCTACATTTTCAACAGGTTCAGGTTTATGCCCCTTTTTTTTTTTTCGGTCTACATTTACTCCCTCAGTTATTTTGTCCAGTCTTATGGCTTAAGTACCATGTGTGTGCTGACAATTGCACATTCCTATCACCACTAGCCCAGGCTTTCTCCTTAACGGTGTACTCATTTGTCCTCTATGCCTGTCAGCACCTCCACTTGTACATGTCATAGACCTCTCAAACTTAACACAGCCACTCATACTGAAAAACGCTATTGAACATTTCCAAATAGGTCTTTTCTATGGTCTGCTACTTAACTTCAAATTGGCAGGGTGTGTTTAGAAATGTATTGTCAAGGGACTGGCAGGTGGTGTGGTGGTTATGGTGTTGGACTTCCACATGGCCGACCATGGTGCGAGTCCCATACCTGGGTGGCTTACTTTCTCACCCTCTCTCTCTTTGTGTCTCTTTCTGGTCAAATTAAAGGATAATAATAATAAATAAAATAAAATAAGTAATTCTTAAGAAAAGGAGATGTATTGTTGAGATTTCTTGACCAGTGTTTTCAGACAGTTTTCCTTGTTTCTGTTTTTTTTTTTTCTTTTTGCCCAGGTCTGCTGTATATTTCAGTGATTCTGTAATAGTCTATTTGTTCACCTGTTAAAATGTAATTTTAGAATGGAATAACTTTGTCATACTTTTTAAATGCCAGTTTGCAGAACTAGTTGGTCTAATTGAATATATTAACTTTCAACTCCAGTTTTTTTGGAGTTTTTTAGAGGTTTTTGCTATAGGGTGTGTGCACTCACCAAAAACTCAGAGACAGAGAGACAGAAAGTGAGAAATCAGCCACCAGGGGGGATGGCCATGCTGCAATTCCTTCTCCTCCATTCTCCTCTCAGGATCTTGGGCAAACACGCACACATGCCCGTCATGAGTTTTAAGCCACCTGGTCTGGGACTCGAACCGTGGTTGACTACATGGAAGTCTAGCGACATAGCCATTACACCAACTGCTGGTCCCTCAACTCCATATTTTTATCCTGTTTAAAAATTATGCATAATCTGGGACCAGCAGGTGGCATAATGGCTATGTCGCTGGACTCCCATGTAGTTGACTGCTGTTTGAGTCTCGGATTCAGCAGCTTAAAACTCAGGCTGAGTGCATGTGTGTGTATGCCCCAAATCCAAAGAGAAGAATGGAGGAGAAGGGATTGTGGTGTGGTCATTCCCCCTGGGGGTTGATTTCTCATTTACTATCTTTGTCTCTCTCCGGTGAGCATACACACCCTAGAGGAGAAATCTCTCTCTCAAAAAAATTACATAATCCATATTTTATTCTTACACAGTAATTTTTGTAATTCTGTCATTTGAACATCTACCAAATATTCCTGTACTATATCACAGACTTTAGATAACACAGGTTTATCATCCTTAGATGATGTAGTACAGAAATGCTTGGTAGAAGTTCACAATATAGAATTACATGGAAATTCCTTTTTTTTTTTTTGGAATTAAAATACAAGTTTATTTCGGTACAAGAAATTTTCTAAATGAATATATTTTTTTCTTTTCTTCCTTTCTTTCCTTAATTGCTAGAGGGCTTGTGTGTGCTCTCCAGGGAGACAGAAAGGGAGAAAACACCCCCTAATGGGGTATGGTCATGCCATAATCCCTTCTCCATTTCTTATTTTTTTTGGAGAGGTTTTTTTGCTATAGGGCACGTGCGCTCGCTAGACAGACAGAAAGCGAGAAATCACCCCCCAGTTGGGATGGCCACACCACAATCCCTTCTCCTCCATTCTCTTCTTGGGGTCTTGGGCACACATGCACACGCGCCCGGCTGGAAATTCCTTTTTAACTATTTTAATTTAGTCAAGTATTTTCATTATGGACAGCAGTGAAGTATAACTCCAAATATGAGTAAATGTGTGAGGTTTTTTTTTTTGTCTCTCTTTTTTTTTTTCAATAGCTGATTGTTTTCATGGCACTAGCCAATGGAGTTTCCAGAATAAAAACAGGACCAGTCACCCTCCACACGCAGACAGCTATACATTTTGCTGAACAACTAGCAAAGGTGAGTGTCCCATCAGCAAAAGTAACTGATTTTGTTTATAGTTAATTTGAGATTAAATTAAAAGACAGAAGATGTAATAGTTACCATAATTGTCCACACTCACTAAGTACGTCTGTGTGGCAGACACTGACCTAACAGCAATTTATCTGAGTCGTCATACTCTGCATAACTATTCCAGGTGGCTAAGCATTATTATTGCCATTTTACATCTGCGTAAGTGAGGCAGAGAGAGATAGTACATTTTTCTAGGCCACATAGTTTCTTGGTGATAGAACTGGGGTTTGAGCAAACTCGGGAAAGCATACTGCATTATGATCACTGTGTACTTCCACCTTAGTAAGAGTGTTTCTGTGGGTACTGTGAAGGGAAATCACCATGGATTCATAGCTGGCTGTGGATAGATATTGATATAAATTAAAAGAAAGTTTTTTCCTTCTGATTCTATTCGTAAAATAAAATACTTACTGAAATTCTTTTTAAAAAAAAGAATATTTATTTAATTAATTTATAAAATTTTATTTATTAATTATTTTAATTTGACTAGAGAGAGACATGGGGTGGAGGAGCAAGAAAACAAGCCACCAGGTTCAGGATTCAAACCATGTGGGAGTATCCAGCACCTTAACCACCATGCCACCTCCTAGCCCCAGAATACTTACTGAAATTCTTTTTAAAAAAAAGAATATTTATTTAATTAATTTATAAAATTTTATTTATTAATTATTTTAATTTGACTAGAGAGAGACATGGGGTGGAGGAGCAAGAAAACAAGCCACCAGGTTCAGGATTCAAACCATGTGGGAGTATCCAGCACCTTAACCACCATGCCACCTCCTAGCCCCAGAATACTTACTGAAATTCTAATATCCACCAGTCCTTTAAATTTGAAAGAGTAGACTTAAAATTTTTAGTGAAAAGGGATTTATCATTGTATAAGCACAAATACATACCTTTCTACAGGATTCTTATTTATTTAACTTTTTCTGCCATAGGGTGAGGGTGCTCATCAGAGACAAAGAGATATAGAGAGAGGAAAAGTGAGAAATTACCCCCTGAGGGGATGGCCACACTGCAATCCCTTCTCCTCCATTCTCCTCTCAGGACTTTGATCACCCGCACACACATGTCCAACGTTGTGTTCAAACCATTGGCCCAGGAATTGAAACGTAGTCACCCTTATGGGAATTCAGCGCCTTAACTCCAAACCACCTCCTGGCCCCCAGGAATCTTAGTTTTCAACAGATGATTAATATGTATGTTACATCATGAAATGAATACAGTTTTTTATTAAAAATTTAGAAAATAGAGGGGAAGGCCTGCCTATAATTCCCCCTTGCCTATAAAACTGCAGTTTATATTTAGGTATTTTCCGCCTCTCTTAAATCATTTCTCTTTGTATTTTTTTCAGTTAATACATATAGCTTCTTCTTTTTTTTTAAGATTTATTTATTTATTTATTTCCATTTGTTATTATTATCTTTTAATTTTTGCCCAGACAGAGACAGAGAGAGAGAAAGGGAAAGCAAGAAGGGAAGCTGTCAGGTCCAGGACCTGAACCATGGTTGGCCATATGGCAATCCAGTACCCCTAACCACCATGCCACCTGCTGGTCCCCGTATAGCTTCCTTCTATTTTTGCCTCCCACCCCCCCCAGTAGTGTGGCATATTTTCATTTTGCTATATTCTTTATAATATAATTTTCTTTCTTTTTTTTTGGAGAGGTTTTTGCTATAGGGTGTGTGCGCTCGCCAGACAGACAGAGAGAGACAGAGAGACAGAAAGTGAGAAATCACCCCCTGGGGGGATGGCCACGTTGCAATCCCTTCTCCTCTATTCTCCTCTCGGGATCTTGGGCACACATGCACACACGCCCGGCGTGAGTTTAAAGCCACTGAGTTTGGGACGTGAACCGCGGTCAACTATGTGGGAGTTCAGCGACATAGCCATTACGCTAACTGCTGGTCCCATTTTGCTATATTCTTTATAATATTATTTTATAAAGGAACAAAATTTATTCCATTTTACGAGGAAAGGTGCTAAACTTAGGCATTTTTTAAAGTTAGAAACTAATGCACACTAGCAAAAAAAATCAAGCATTATAGAACGGTACCAAATACAAAGCCACTATTACTCCACCATTTGTGTAACTCTTAGTAACACGTACAAGTTGAGTATTCCTAGTTCAAAAATTTGAAATCCAAAATGATGCACAACTCAAAACATTTTAGCAATAGCATAATGTCACAAGTGAGAAATTCCACATCTGACTTCATGTGAGGTGTTACAGTCAATCCTGCATTACAGAAATACTGTGTACAATTACCTTCAGACCAGGTGTATAAGGTATATATAAAATGTAAGTTTATTTCAAATATCAGTTCATTCCCATTTTCCAAATATGCAAGTATTCCAAAATTGAAAAAATCTGAAGTTCAAAACTCTTCTCCCAGGGCCAGCAGGTGGTATGGTGGCTAGGGTGCTGGACTCCCACATGGCCGACTGTGTTTTGAGTCCTGGATATGGTGGCTTGCTTTCTCACTTTCCCTCCCTCTTTCTCTCTGTAGTAAATGCACATGCCCTGTAGCAAAATAAATAAATAAAGAACATTAAATAAAATTAAATAAATTATTCTTTAAAAAAAAACACTCCTCTTTCAACCATTTCTCTCTCTCTCCCTCTTTTTTTAAGAATTATTTAATTTAATTAATTAATTTATTTATTAATTCACCAGAGAGAAAGTGAGAAAGCAAGCCACCAGGTCCGGGACTCAAACTGTGGTTGGCCATGTGGGAATCCAGCACCTTTAACCACCACGCCACTTGCCAGCCCCAGGAAAATTATATTTGATGTCAAAAGAGTTAACTCTTTTTATTATTCTAATTATACTATATGTATTTTAATAATTATTTTATTTAACTTTATTTATTTATTTAAATTTGACCAAAGAGGGACAGAGTGAGAATGAGAGAGAGAGAGAAAGTGAGAAAGCAAGCTGCCAGGTCCAGGATTTGAACTATGGTCAGCCATGAGGGAATCCAGCACCCTTAACCACCAGGGTACCTGCTGGCCCCCTAATTATGCTATATTTGTAACTGTTACTTGTGTGTCTCCCCTGGTAGATTGACTTCCTTGATAGGCCCAAATTTTATTCATTATACTCTTCACTTCTTTTTTTAAATATGTTGCCACAGGTTGCATGTACTCTCCAGAGAGAGAGACAGACAGACAGAGAGAGGAAAAGAGAAATCACCTCACAGAGGGGATGTCTATGCTGCAGACCCTTCTCCATTTTCCTCTTGGGATTTTGGTCAGGCTTGCACAGGTACCCAGTGTGATTTTCAAGCCACCAAGTCGGACTTGAACTGCGGTCAGCTATGTGGGAGTCCAGTGCCTTAAACTACTACACCATGTGCTGGTCCTTATATCAATAGTTATATCAATAGTTCTTTGTTATATATTAAACACTTTGAAGTGACTCTGTAATGCAAAGTGCGTGCCCTGGATTATATAGCTCTCGTTTCTTGTTCAACTTTGTTGTGTTGTAACAGGGCAAGTTAGGACAAGTTTCTTCATTGTTATATGCCTCGGTACAGATAATCCATCTGTGAAATCAGAGGCTCGAGCGAGGTGCTCCCTTAAGGTGCCTTCCAACTCAAAATGTTTGCGGTTGTAAGTGGGTTTATATTTATACAAGAAATGAGTTCCATAAAATTGTTAACTCATGTTTCACCTTTATGTAATTCTTGTCATATGAAAAAAAGTATGTAGTTATCTAGCTCAGAATGAAGTGTTTATTCATTCAAAAGTAATTTGAAGTGTCCACCATGTGTCAGTATTCTGTCACTTCTGAACTCAAAAGAATTTGTAAACATTACTATTTAGTAAAACCTTAGAGTGGTGGTTTTCAAATTGTATTTCAAAGAATTTTGAGATTTCAGGCGTACTTGAACACCCTTTGCCCAAACTCAGCTAGCCTACTCACTTGTTTTGATTTTAGTTCAGTTTGTTAAAATGAATCATACTTGGAATCAGCAGACGGCGACATGGTACCTTGTTGGACTCCCATGTAGTCACCACAGTTCCAGACCCGGTGACTTAAACTCACCATGGGCAGAGACCAGCAGATGGCATAATGGTTACTGACTCCCATGTAGTCAACTGTGGTTCAAGTCCCAGACCCAGTGATTAAAACTCATGCCAGGGGTGGGGCTGGCAGGTGATGGGGTTGTTAGGATGCTACACTCCCACATGGCCGACCTCGGTTCAGGTCCGGGACCTGGAGGCTTGCTTTCTCACTCTCCCTCTCTGCCTCTCTGTCTCTCTCTGGTCAAATTGAATAATAATAATAATATATAATAAATAATTTTAAAATTAAAAAAAAAAAAAACCTAATCCCAGAAGGACCAGTAGATGATGGAATGGTTATGTTGCTGGGCTCCCACGTGGTCAACTGTGATTCGATTCTCAGA